ATTCCAGGTGGGGGGGGGGGGGGAGGAAAGGGCATGTCTTGTGATATTTAATGTAGGCTTGCAAAGAAAATAATTTCTATTCTAAGATAATTTTAATTTTTCAAAATGTTTTGTTAAAAATAGATTTTTTATTACATGTTATTTAAAATCTACTTCTAACCCCTTTTTGAATATGGCTAGAAAAAAAACAGCTTTACCTACTTGCATATCATTTAATGGATGAGACATTTTGAAAAAAGAATTTAACGTCAAATTACAGTGAATATAGTAAAGGCTTTGTGAAATTGTTTGTCTTTATTTTTTTTTTATTCTACAACAGCTTTTGGCAACAATTTTCTGAGAAAGACTGACCCAACATTACAGTGGACATCAGTTGAACAAGTTCTCTTTAACTGCAGGAGGCATGTGCCATCCCTGTGGCTACTATCTAGATCAGCTGTGGAAAAATGGGGCCTGGACACTGGCCAATTACCTATGCCTGTTCAAAGTATGTAATATTAGATATTTATGTTATGTCAAAAGTAAGATTAAGATGTTATTAGTTCAGAGATTTAACAAATCTTACATTGAATTTATTGGCAGGATCTAAAAATACAATTTTATGTTTGTTCCTGTGCAGAAACTGTTCTTTAGTTTTGAAGTGCTTAACATTAACAATAAATAATATTGAAGAATAAGCATGAAACAGAACATTCCATACAGCGTATACCATCTATTTTTTAGTTCAAACTAATCAATACCATCAGTTTGCTGTGAGCACAGTTAAATAAAAAATAAACCACTGCATTGTTCGTACATTGTTCTTAAGAGTAGAGACACGCTCAGGTAGAAAGCTGCCCTGGGAACACATTTTCTTTTAGAAGATACTTCTTGTTGATAACCCTTAAAATACTAAAACAAAACAAAAGTCTATTAATAACATTGTTTGTTGAATAGTTTGTGATGAGAAGAATCTCAGCCTTATTGAAAGAAGAGAATGCCCTGTTCTTCAAAAAAAAAACTATAGAGGCAACACAACTTCAGTATCCCTTTGGCTTAATGGCCTATGAAAACAAGAATGAGTTGGGTGCAATTTACTTAGAAGACTAGTCTGTTGTCTAAAAGTGACACTAAAAAAGTAATGTTCCCCTTTCAGACCTTGTGGTCTAAAGGGCAGGTGATGTAAAGGTCATCTGTTTCTGCAGCCTACGGTTAACGATGGTGACATGTGGCCATCACAATGAGCAACCGCCTTTACTTTTCCCCAACTTATATCAGGTTCCCATTAGAGCTAGGTGGACTCAGAGGTGCTTAAAGATCCTAAAATTAAAAATCCCAGTCTTCACCAGGACTCAAACCTGGGTCCCTGGTTCAGAAGCCAAGTGTTTTATGCTCAGCCACCTCGCCGCCAAAAGTGACACTAAATTACTATTAACCGTTCATTATATCACAAATCTTGACATAAAACTGTTGCACAAAATAGAATTAGATATCTAATAAGTAACAAAACAATTAAACGCTCATAATAATTTTATGCATTAGATATATTGTAGAGCAAGTTAATATCCATAACAATGATCAACTGTTTTATTATAGATGAGCTAATCAACCAGAGCACATGCTATCAATGTGGAAAGAAGCAGGACCTTGATAGTGTTAAGCTTGTCAAGTTCTTAAACTTTGACCCCAGGCCACACCCTCAATCAGTGCTGTCTCAAGAGTATCCTTTCCTCTTTACATTCTGCCCGAGCCATGTGGTAGAGAACAGTTTGGACATTTGTATTGATGCCTCAACCTTCACCTAAACATTTGTCACTCTCAATCAGCATTGGACTCAAGATGTCGTCACTGGCTATTGTTGTTTTTTGTTGTTAACACATTTAAAAGATAAAAAAACAACTACATCAGTATGAAGAAAAAAATATGAATAATTGTTGAACATTGACATTTTGTTTTAAAGAGCTCGTCAGAGTTTTGATAAATGTTTTACATGCTCCGGATGTTCCCTCAGAGTTGAAGATAATCTATACCTCCTGCAGGATGACTGGGGAGAGCAGCTGGTGGGGTATGAACCCGGGACCATCGAGATGACCGAAAAAAAAAGTCTAGCATGGTTACTGTTTGACCCTTAATCCTAAAGCTCATAGCTTCACGTTCTAAAAGTAATGCAGTTTGTTTTGTAAATAAAATACATTTTTAATGTAACAACTGAAAAACAAGGCCAAATTTTGTTTCTCATGTTAAAAAAAATATCAAAAAGCCTAAAAAATCCCAAGCTCCTCTCATCAATAGAAACTTCTTTCACCTTCTTCCTCATGTCTCTATCCCCCTCTCCCTTTCCAGCTCAAAAAAAAAATTTTTTGACAACTTAATAAACGAAAGTTTGTTTCAAAGTAGCAGATTTTCTGCTTCATCAGTATTAATGATTAAAGTCAGGAAAAGTTGGAAGTAATGCGAAGCTTTACAAAGCAAATCACAGCATTATCCATGCATATTATGTTGTTGAAGCAATGCAATATTGTTTTGTTGTTGTTTTAGTGCAATGAGGGCCAGCTTTAAATTAGATTAATTAGTATCCAACTGATATTGTTATGTTTCATCTATAGTGTTTGTAGACAATCCTAAATTCCTGAATTGTATCAGTTTAGAAAATTATAAATAAAACAGTCTGTCTTTCATTCACATTATTTACAACCTTAGAAAATTGAGACATTTACTGATCTACTTTTATGATTCAGTATACCATTAGTCTTAGGATAAAATAAATTCAGTATACTAATAGGCATAGGACAAAATTAATCCGACATATCCAAAAAAAAGGACAAAATAAATAACCTGTACATGTTAAACAGACTAGTTTTATTTATTGAATATCAGTGCTTATATTTTTTTAACATTGATAGCTGGTGTTTGAGGAAATCTAATGATAGTCCTACCTCCAGCACTTAGGTGAGTGCTGAAATAATCAATGTATATTTGATAGCTTATGATAAGAGAATATAAATCTACCACTGCCAGGCTATGTTTATGTCTGCGGATGTGGCAAATATGTAGATTGGAGCTGGGACTGTTTAGCTACGTGAAACACCATACTCCTCAATCATCTTTGGACTTTGAATTAAAGCCTAATTACTATCTATGAAAAACCTTTTTACTATCTAAGAAAAGTCTTATTACTATGATCAAACATTTACACAAATTGTAGAGTTTATTTAGTCTTAAGCTATTTCCTAGTGAAACTTCATGAGATTCGTATAAACTAATGAGATTGAACAAAACGTACAAGATCTATCAAGTAATGCAAGTTGTATTCAAAATGACTAAGCTTATTATTCTTGATTTTTACATAAAATTTTTACAAAAATATTGAAATCTATAAAAGAATGTTACTATACACATTGTCATTGCTAAATGCTGTCCAGGATATTTCTTATTGTGACCTGTTGCTAATTTTGAATTTGAGTTTAGTAATGTTCAAATAGTTACTCTCTTAAAAATCACATTTTTCTGTTTAGCCAATTTTCCATTTTAAACCTTGTATTGGTGTGTTTTTAAAATAACTACACTGAATTTTATACATTTTTTAAACTATCAAAATGTGTTCATTTCAAAAAGCTTTTTTTTTTCTGTAAAATGCTATTGTATCTATTGAAAATTCATATTAGGTTTAATTTTCTCCACTTGCAAATGTCTACATATGCTAATTTTATCTTTTCAAAAACTTGTCATGTTTTCTCTAGTTCCTGGTGATGTAGTAAAAAAAATGCCAGTCCAAGCATTTTCAATTGTGTGTTGTAGCATTCTTTAGTTTTTAATATAACAATGACTGACGTATGAAATGTTCTTGTATATGGTCTCAGTATTTTCTGTTTAAAACAACTGAATAATATAAAACAGTGACGCCCAACCTATTCGACCTGCGGGCCAATTTGATTTCCGACACTCCTGACGCGGGCCACATGAACGAAAAGGTGCAAAAATCAAATGAAATGAATCTGAAACTATTTGATTTGAAACCCGTGGATCCAGTATTTCATTAATCAAAAGAATATTTGAAATTTAACTTTTTTTTTCATGCGTCAGAAAATGGCTGCTTTTCTCTATTTAAAATATGAGCTACACTGTATGTAGCTTTACAACCGACTCGTTTTCTTGCCTCACATCTCTAGACGTAGTTTATGAATTTTTTACTTGCGGCTCAAACCAAGAATGTCGTCATATTTGTTTTATAATGCCGTCTTTATATTTTTTCTTTTTTTTAAACAGCCACACTTCCTTGATGAAACAAATATGTTTCCTGGTAGATTTTACATTCAGAGTCCCATTTTATAAACGCACAAAAGTTAAAAGTCATGGTACCAATCCCATTAGAGAAAAATTGAGGGCTCTAACGTAGGTAAAGATATATATTTTTTTCAACCTTTTCAAAAAAAAATTAGATGGGGGTGGGGATTTTTTTTAACACTTTAGGTGGACGTGTTTAGAACCACGTAATCCGGCCCGCAGACCGTATTTTGGGCATCACTGATATAAAAGATGCGCTCTTGATAGGCTAACATTCAATGCAGTGGATAAATATGACCAGTTTATGAGATCCATTTAAACTCAGTCAATTTAGAGTTGACTAAACTAATAGTGCAGCTACAGATGGAGTCAGCATGAACCTTCCTTCTAGAACATTTTACATTGTTGTTTCTAACATCCAATAGACTTTCTGTTTTGTGATCCACTGTTTTTATTTCAGAATTTATTTATTATTTAAAATTTATTTTACATCTATGGCCATTTTTGTATGGTAAGGTTGAATTTGTTCTATTGTGATCTCAGACCCATAGGGAGCTCAGTCTCTTAGCTCTGGATGTACTGACTACAAAATATTTTGGTGGTGGTTTATGTGTAAGTCTTTTAAGAAATTATTTCCTTAGTAATTATCACTAGTAATTATTATCCTACATTCCAAGCACTTCAACTTTTTGTATTGTGTATTTGTTGTGCATAATTGTTTCACACATGAAGATATTATATTATTTGTGCAAGTGTTCTAAGCTTATTCATTGCATAATGATATTGACCTTGACAATGTTTGTCACAGCTTGCATCATCAAGCTTATTTATTTTGTGTGTTTTGTTTTGCAAATATTAAATTAAAACAAAAATAGGCTAATCATTGAACTGTTGATCCTCACAAATGATTTCAAATTGTAGAAATCAGCTGCACAAAATCTTGTCTTGATTCATGTTTGAGGTGACTGGTCTGATAACAGAGCAACATCCAGTCCCTTCCCCTCGCCATGTACAAATAATCAAACTGGTTGTGATACATTCAGTCCTGCCTTGATGTTGTGTTTTTTTTTTATCTTTGAGATACATTTATTTTTAAACCTTTTATTTTTTATTTTTTTTTGCATTGTGCCATACTTAGACCAATAGACATCTCAACTTTCTGTCTAACAGAATGATATACAGCTTAAAAAAAAGTGAAATGAGGGAATATCCCATCACTACCCCCCACATACACACATATATGTTTGACAAAATGTAAAGACATTTGACAAGATTATTTGTGTTTGAAGTGTTACACATGTTCACGCCATAATGTGTTTTATTAAAGCTGCAGATACCTTTGTTCTGTGTTTGATTTTTGTGCAACAAATATTAGTGTGAATGAAAGTGTTCTAAATAGAAATTGTTTAGTTGCCATTCAGAGGAATTCTTTAGGAACTTTGTTTTTTTTGCATTATTTTCAAATGAATTTTGGTTTGTATTATTGTTAGAGGGTAAATCTTCGAGTCATGAAATACTTAGCTTAGGAGAGAAATTAGTTTCTATTTTAAAATTGAACTAAAAAAGTTTTGTTAATGGAAAATGGGTGTGAACAACTTTTGACCTTTCATATTGTTTCAGTTGTCTTGTGAAATAAATATTTGTACACAACCCATTGCATTGGGAGACATGGAAGATTCTTGTGTTTTTATTTTATTAACTTGCATTGGATGTCAGCACTTTGTTCAACAAAAGTGAATTGAAATGTTTTTAGGACTAAAATTGTTTGCGTTGTCGAGGAAGATGTGACTATTGGAATGTGTGGAGTCATAGGGAGACACAATTGTACAGAAAATGTCCAGTAAAAAAAACACAACAATAAAATGTCATTGAAAGTTGTTTTCATTCTACAAGTTCAGGATGAGAGAGAAACTGTTAGTGGCCAAACTGAAAGTAAAACAAAACAATGTCAAGTCCCTCCAGACTTCCAGCTCAGCATTCTTCAATGTTGTTGTTTTTTTTTCTATTCAAAATAGTTCATGTCTTGGATTAGATCTTTTTGTCTTAGATCAAATCGTATTATGTCTTAGATCAGATCAGCAATCCTCTTTGATTAGACCTGTTCTGGTGAATCCAAATATTGTCAACTGGTAGTTTATGTAAGTTCTAAGTACCCAGTAAGTAGATGGCCGCCACTCAATTACCTCCAAACTACTCATTCAACACAGTATCGTGCTCCTCGTGATTCTGTCCCCCCCTCTCTCTTGGCGGTGCCAACCAACTGGAAATAACCTTCTACTTCTCTATGAGACACTAGATTCCTGGGAGAGGAGGGGGGGAGACTGACTAGATGGAAAGGAACAAGGACTCTCATAGCGACGGAAGATTTCAGTTTTTAAACCCAATATTTGAGGTTCTAAAGTTTTGCTATGAGATTAAAAAAAAAAAAAAAAAAAGGAATTCAGAAATAATTGTCGTAAGTCAATTAAAGATGACCATGAAAATGATGGGCTTACTCACTCTGACAGACCTTTGCCTTTTGAAGGTCTGCTGCACCAGCACAGCGGGTCTCTTGCTTGTCGTTCAGCTTCAGCAGTAAATGGTTTGACAAAACAATTGGGGGGGGGGGGGGCAGTTCTGTACCTTATTATAGTGTTGTTTTTTACGCTTTCTTTTAGTTTGACTGGGGATGGGCCACATCTGGAATCTCGGCCTGTGGTACCGTGTGAGGCATGAACCACCAACCAGCTTCCTCCAGGCATCTCGATTCTGGGCGAGTCTCTCCAACTGTCCCCACGTCTTGCAAATCTACTTTGCATCTGCTTCCAAATCGCGGCGCCATGCATTCCTTGGCCCTTCGCTCTTCCTATAAGGGATTTTAGGTGAGGACTTGTCTTGTAACGCTGGATGCATCCTTGCGAAGATAGCGCCCCCGTTGAAGACCACTGCTATAGTGCATTTTAGACGTCACGAGATAGAATTTCTGAAGCCCAGAATGTAGGAAAATGCCTGACACTGGGGCCTCTTTTCTGTACCTAAAATACGGATTTTATAACCCCCCCCCGGACTTTCTGTCAAGGGAGGTGTAAATTTTATTTTTGTTTTAGTAAGGGTGGTACACTTTAAAGTTTGAGAATCACTGAAACAATATTTGTTTGTAGTTCTCTCTATGTGTGGCTCGTCCGTGGTGAGGGCTTGTTGTAGTCTTTTCCTTTTCCAAACAGTTAATGGGAACGTTAGGGGGGTCGTTCGTAAATGACGTCACGCTCTAGGGGGAATGAGGGGTTTGAGAAAATGTTACACTTTGTGACAAGGGGGAAGGGGGGGGGGTAGCGATTTTGTGACGTCACAAATTTAAAATTCAGAAAAAAAAACCACAAATAAAATATTTTTTTAATCTTAAAAAATCTTCTAAAAATAATAACATTTTTTAGGTACTCATTTCAACATGAACTTCTCAGGTAGTTTTATTCTGAAATAAACAGCATTGAAAATATAGAGATATTTCAGTCTTGTTTAAGGAGTTCAACTGAAAACATCATGTTGGCACTGGCGACTGAGAATTTCACGTTGTTCTTCTCAAAAATACTAATCTTAATTTCCTGAAAAATAACAACGTCATGGTGTGTTTTGAAAATTCAAATCTCTAACCTGAAAACAACATCAAATGGAGAAAAAAGTTAAATTCAATTTATTTATCGAAAGATCAGCTGTGACATCGCATAAAGGACTTGAATTCACCAACGAACATTCATCAACACACAGATGTTAACGAGCGAAACATCCGCAGGAACTTGGAATTAGTTCTCGCTATATTTTCTGTAGCGAATTTTTCCGATTTGAATTATTCAGCCAAAATTCTCGCGCAACTCGCTCTTTCTATCGTGAACTTCCGAAGAGTTCACACGTCATTTTTCATCGCTCAAAAATTATAATTTTCACGAATCCTCCTCAATTCTGATGCTGAATTGACTCAGTAACACACAGAAGTTAAAGTAAGCATGAATGATAAGCAATTTTCATTTAAATTTTTTTTTTTGACTAACTTTATTTTTCCCGTGTATACTATCGATGACCACATGAAACCTTTTTTGGAAAAAATTGATGAGAAATAAATAATTTGAAATAAATACGCTTTTTTTTATTTTGTGACGTGATGCAGAGAATTTGTGATACTTTGTGACAAGAGGAAGAGGGGGGTCAAAAAAGGTCATTTTTTGCGTGACGTCCTTTACAAACGACCCCTTACCTGTTAAATATCATCTTGTTAGTTCCCCCCTCCCCACCCATTTTTTTTTTGTTTCTCGATACACTTAGCTTATATTTTAACGTTAAATCATGAGAATCGAGCACCTAAAAAGGGAGTTAAATATTAATCTTCATCGTGAGATCCTTAAGACAAATATATTTAACTGGATTGCGTCCCTTATATCACATTTCCCTTTGGTAACATATTTCTTTTCTTACCCATCAATTGTCTCCAAACTTTAGATTTAATTTTGAAATAGTTTTATCAATAACTTCTTCTATGTACATTTTGTGGTACAACCACTCTACGTATGTATCTGCTCACTCTGTATGTCGTATGAAGTAATTAATGTGTATGTGGTAGCTATGTATGTGTGTATGTATAGCCTATGTGTACAGTGTGCATGTATGTAAATGATATGAATTTAACCAACTTAAAAAATGGTATAGTTGCCTTACAAAAGCAAATGTCCATCATTTGATAATGTTGTTTTTTTTTAATTTATACTTGCACAATGTGATTGCTAACAGTCCATTACACAAGTTGCTTCCCTTTGTTTTAATTTTAATTTTAATAGACGTTATAGATACTATACAAATGCAAGACTTTACAAAAGAAGAAACAAGCAATTCAGTGAGTCCTTAGGGTCTTCAATATAAACACTATACACAGAGTATATTATTGTATCAATTAAAACATTTACTGGGCAATCATTTCTTTATGCGTAAACAAAATAAGAAAAATACACACTGACACACACACATACCAAACTTTTAACACTTCATCACATATGTGTCGCTATTGCGACATGCATAAAAATACACATACATCAACACACATACACATTCCTGCAAACTTCGTACATATGTTTCATTCAACACTGTAAGGAGAAGAGCTAGAAAACATAAAATAGAGACAAGAGATTTAGAAAGTGAAAAAGCACAGACTAATCACGTGACAATTTTTAGATGTTTATAAAATTAAATTATCGTATCTTATAAATTAGGGACGCTTAAAATGATTGGGGGGGGGGGGCAATGAATTATAGCACTTCAGTCCTGACGTCAAATCATGAACATGGTCGTGGGATTAGCGCGCTGGATTGTCGTTCAGATTTATCGATGGTCCCGGGTTCAAACCCTGCCCGCTCCCATCCCCCGTCGTCCTGCGGGAGGTTTGGACTAGGAAGTAAACTATCTTCAACTCTGAAGGAACATCCGAAACATGTAAAACATTTTAAAACAACTCGGTGGCTCCCTGGGTTTTGAAACAAGACCATCAAGTCCACAACCGAACAGTCTTCCCTCTGCGAGTGTTGTAATACGTGTATATACAACTGAGAAAAAAAATATTATCCGAAAAAAAAATGTGTATGTCATATTTGTTAGATGTTCTTTTCGAGAGATGTGCTATTTGTCGGAAGTGCTGTTTGTTAGATGCGTTATTCGTTGGTTCAGTGTTTCCCAAACTGTGTTCCATGGAACCCTAGTGTTCCACGAGGTCTGGCTAGATGATCCACGAAGTATTGGACTAATTAACTAGTAGACCTTCACGAAAATGAATCCTTAATAAAATGCAGAGAAAAGACAAACTAAATTCTATAGCATCCCTATGAACTTTGAACTGACCTAGATTCTGACTAGCATTTTAAACAAAGACACTGTAAAAGATTAATCATTAAATGATTTCTGGTTGAGTTTTTTTGAAGAGTTCCACAATAGTTCCAAACAAGTTACTCGTTTATTCTCCTACTTCCATTTCTTTCTAAAGCAAACTCAAAGTAGACAAGTTTGAAGCCACACTAGTTGTTAGAATTCAGCCTATCAATATCATGCCTGATATCAAGAAGTTAGGCTCTTCGAGGACACAATACCCTCAAAGTCGCTAGACCATATAATATATCTATATTTTTAAACTTTTATACTTAGGGAAAAAAAGCTTAATTTAGAGCATGATTGAGTTATTTGTATTTAACCAATAGAAACAAAATTCAACCATACGTCCAAGTACAGAAAAAGTGGTAACAAAGTCATAACATTACA